GGAGGTGTGTAGAGGAGGTGTGTAGGGGAGGTGGGTATGTGAAGCATGTAGGAGAGGTGTGTACGGGAGGTGTGTAGGGGGAGTTTGTAGGGGAGGCTTGTAGGGGGAGTGTGTAGGGGAGGCGTGTAGGGGAGACGTGTAGGTGGAGTGTGTAGGGGAGGTGTGTAGGGGAGGCGTGTAAGGGAAGGTGTGTAGGGTGAGGTGTGTAGGGGAAACATGTAGGGGAGGTGTGTAGGGGGTGTGTAGGGGGGGTGTAGGGGAGGTGTGTAGGGGAAGTGTGTAGGGGAGGTGTGTAGGGGGGTGTAGGGGAGGTGTGTAGGGGGAGTGTGTAGGAGAGGTGTGTAGGTGAAATGTGTAGGGGAGGTGTGTAGGAGAGGTGTGTAGTGGGAGGTGTGTAGGGGGGTGTAGGGGAGGTGTGTAGGAGAGGTGTGTAGGGGAAATGTGTAGGGGAGGTGTGTAGGAGAGGTGTGTAGTGGGAGGTGTGTACACGAGGATCATAGTAGCTTTGTGTGTCTGCTGAGCTTTTCGCTTCTACAACAAATAAAAGCTAAAAACCTGCTGTGTGATTCTGTTATCTGTAAACACAGAAATGCTGCTGAGCCTGTTTACAGATAACAGTGTCAGATACCAAATCGCCTGTGAGTGTGTAGGGGGAGGTGTGTAGGGGAGGTGTGTAGGGGGAGGTGTGTAGGGGGTGTGTAGGGGAGGTGTAAGGGAGGTGTTTAGGGGAAATGTGTAGGGGGAGGTGTTTAGGGGGTGTGTGTAGGGGAGGTGTGTAGTGGGGGTGTGTAGGGGAGGTGTGTAGAGGGGTGTGTAGGGGAGGTGTAAGGGAGGTGTGTAGTGGGAAATGTGTAGGGGGAGGTGTGTAGTGGGGTGTGTAGGGGAGGTGTGCAGGGGGTGGTGTGTAAAGGGGCTGTGTAGTGGAGGTGTTTAGTGGAGGTGTGTAGGGGAGGCGTGTAGGGGAGGTGTGTAGTGGAGGTGTGTAGGGGAGGTGTGTAGGGAGAGGTGTGTGGGGGAGGTGTGTAGGGGGGTGTGTAGGGGAGGTGTGTAGTGGGAGATGTGTAGGGGAGGGGTGTAGGAGAGTTGTGTAGGGGAGGTTTGTAGAGGGGGTGTGTAGGGGTGTGTGTAGGGGGTGTGTAGGGGAGGTGTCTAGTGGAGGCGTGTAGGGGAGGTGTGTACTGGGGGTGTGTAGGGGGGTGTGTAGGGGATGTGTGTAGGGGAGGTGTGTAGGGGGAGGTGTGTAGGGGGGTGTGTATGGAAGGTGTGTAGTGGGGGTGTGTAGGGGAGGTGTAAGGGAGGTGTTTAGGGGAAATGTGTAGGGGAGGTGTTTAGGGGGTGTGTGTAGGGGAGGTGTGTAGTGGGGGTGTGTAGGGGAGGTGTGTAGAGGGGGTGTGTAGGGGAGGTGTAGGGGAGGTGTGTAGTGGGAAATGTGTAGGGGGAGGTGTGTAGTGGGGTGTGTAGGGGAGGTGTGTAGGGGAGGTGTGTAGTGGGGGTGTGTAGGGGGTGTGTAGGGGAGGTGTGTAGTGGAGGTGTGTAGGGAGAGGTGTGTAGAGGGGTGTGTAGGGGAGGTGTGTAGTGGAGGTGTGTAGGGGGAGGTGTGTAGGAGGAGGTGTGTAGGGGAGGTGTGTAGGGGAGGTGTGTAGAGGGGTGTGTAGGGGAGGTGTGTAGTTGAGGTGTGTAGGGGGAGTGTGTAGGGGAGGCGTGTAAGGGAACGTGTGTAGGGGGAGGTGTGTAGGGGAAACGTGTAGGGGAGGTGTGTAGGGGGAGTGTGTAGGGGAGGCGTGTAGGGGAAGCGTGTAGGGGAGGCATGTAGGGGGAGTGTGTAGGGGAGGTTTGTAGGGGGAGGTCTGTAGGGGAGGTGTGCAGAAGAGGTGTGTAGGGGAAATGTGTAGGGGAGGTGTGTAGGAGAGGTGTGTAGTGGGAGGTGTGTAGGGTGAGGTGTGTAGTGCAGGTGTGTAGCGAAGGTTTGTAGGAGAGGTGTGTAGGGGAAATCTGTAGGGGGAGGTGTGTAGGGGAGGTGTGTAGGGGGAGGTGTGTAGGGGAGATGTGTAGTGGGGGTGTGTAGGGGAGGTGTGTAGGGGAGGTGTGTAGGGGGAGGTGTGTACGGGAGGTTTGTAGGAGGTGTGTGTGTAGGGGAGGTGTGTAGTGGGAGGTGTGTAGAGGAGGTGTGTAGTGGAGGTGTGTAGGGGAGGTGTGTAGGGGGAGGTTTGCAGTGGGGGTGTGTAGTGGGAGGTGTGTAGAGTCGGTGTGTGGGGGGGTGTGTAGTGGGAGGTGTGTAGTGGGGTGTGTAGGGGAGGTGTGTAGGGGTGGTGTGTAAAGGGGGTGTGTAGTGGAGGTGTGTAGTGGGAGGTGTGTAGGGGAGGCGCGTAGGGGAGGCGTGTAGGAGAGTTGTGTAGAGGGGTGTGTAGGGGAGGTGTGTAGCGGTGTGTGTAGGGGGTGTGTAGGGGAGGTGTCTAGTGGAGGCGTGTAGGGGAGGTGTGTACTGGGGGTGTGTAGGGGATGTGTGTAGGCGAGGTGTGTAGTGGAGGTGTGTAGTGGGGAGGTGTGTAGTGGGGGTGTGTAGGGGAGTGTGTAGGGGAGGTGTGTAGTGGAGGTGTGTAGGGAGAGGTGTGTAGAGGGGTGTGTAGGGGAGGTGTGTAGTGGAGGTGTGTAGGGGAGGTGTGTAGGAGGAGGTGTGTAGGGGAGGCGTTTAGGGGGAGGTGTGTAGAGGGGTGTGTAGGGGAGGTGTGTAGTTGAGGTGTGTAGGGGGAGTGTGTAGGGGAGGCGTGTAAGGGAAGGTGTGTAGGGGGAGGTGTGTAGGGGAAACGTGTAGGGAAGGTGTGTAGGGGGAGTGTGTAGGGGAGGTTTGTAGGGGGAGGTCTGTAGGGGAGGTGTGCAGAAGAGATGTGTAGGGGAAATGTGTAGGGGAGGTGTGTAGGAGAGGTGTGTAGTGGGAGGTGTGTAGGGTGAGGTGTGTAGCGAAGGTTTGTAGGAGAGGTGTGTAGGGGAAATCTGTAGGGGGAGGTGTGTACGGGAGGTTTGTAGGAGGTGTGTGTGTATGGGAGATGTGTAGTGGGAGGTGTGTAGGGGAGGTTTGTAGTGGAGGTGTGTAGGGGGAGGTTTGCAGTGGGGGTGTGTAGTGGGAGGTGTGTAGAGTCGGTGTGTGGGGGGGTGTGTAGTGGGAGGTGTGTAGAGGTGGTGTGTAGGGGGGTGTGTAGGGGAGGCGTGTAGGGGAGGTGTGTAGGGGGAGTGTGTAGGGGAGGCGTGTAAGGGAAGGCGTGTAGTGGGACGTGTGTAGGGGAGATGTGTAGGGGAGGTGTGTAGTGGGAGGTGTGTAGTGGGAGGTGTGTAAGGGAAGGCGTGTAGTGGGAGGTGTGTAGGGGAGATGTGTAGGGGGAGTGTGTAGGGGAGGCGTGTAAGGGAAGGCGTGTAGTGGGAGGTGTGTAGGGGAGGTGTGTAGGGGAGGTGTGTAGGGGAGATGTGTAGGGGGAGTGTGTAGGGGAGGCGTGTAAGGGAAGGCGTGTAGGGGAAGGCGTGTAGTGGGAGGTGTGTAGGGGAGATGTGTAGGGGGAGTGTGTAGGGGAGGCGTGTAAGGGAAGGCGTGTAGTGGGAGGTGTGTAGGGGAGGTGTGTAGGGGAGGTGTGTAGGGGGGAATGTGTAGGGGAGGCGTGTAAGGGAAGGCGTGTAGTGGGAGGTGTGTAGGGGAGGTGTGTAGGGGAGGCGTGTAAGGGAAGGCGTGTAGTGGGAGGTGTGTAGGGGAGGTGTGTAGGGGAGGTGTGTAGGGGAGGTGTGTAGGGGAGATGTGTAGGGGGAGTGTGTAGGGGAGGCGTGTAAGGGAAGGCGTGTAGGGGAAGGCGTGTAGTGGGAGGTGTGTAGGGGAGATGTGTAGGGGGAGTGTGTAGGGGAGGCGTGTAAGGGAAGGCGTGTAGTGGGAGGTGTGTAGGGGAGGTGTGTAGGGGAGGTGTGTAGGGGAGATGTGTAGGGGGAGTGTGTAGGGGAGGCGTGTAAGGGAAGGCGTGTAGGGGAAGGCGTGTAGTGGGAGGTGTGTAGGGGAGATGTGTAGGGGGAGTGTGTAGGGGAGGCGTGTAAGGGAAGGCGTGTAGTGGGAGGTGTGTAGGGGAGGTGTGTAGGGGAGGTGTGTAGGGGGGAATGTGTAGGGGAGGCGTGTAAGGGAAGGCGTGTAGTGGGAGGTGTGTAGGGGAGGTGTGTAGGGGAGGCGTGTAAGGGAAGGCGTGTAGTGGGAGGTGTGTAGGGGAGGTGTGTAGGGGAGGTGTGTAGGGGAGGTGTGTAGGGGAGATGTGTAGGGGGAGTGTGTAGGGGAGGCGTGTAAGGGAAGGCGTGTAGGGGAAGGCGTGTAGTGGGAGGTGTGTAGGGGAGATGTGTAGGGGGAGTGTGTAGGGGAGGCGTGTAAGGGAAGGCGTGTAGTGGGAGGTGTGTAGGGGAGGTGTGTAGGGGAGGTGTGTAGGGCGCGAGGGAGGATAAATGAAATGGAGGAGGTTGATCGTGTGAAGAACCCGCCTGCTCACCAGGATCATAGTAGCTTTGTGTGTCTGCTGAGCTTTTCGCTTCTACAACGAATAAAAGCTAAAAACCTGCTGTGTGATTCTGTTATCTGTAAACACAGAAATGCAGCTGGGCCTGTTTACAGATAACAGTGTCAGATACCAAACCGCCTCAGTTAGAGATACAGAACAGCTCCACTCGGTCTGAGGCGCAGAGCTGAATTTGGCCTCCCTGCTCACCAGATTCTTATTTGAATGTTCCACCTTAAATGATGCAGCAGTTACAGTCCAAAAACTCCTGGAGTGCTAAGTGAGGCGAGTGTGTGATGATTTAGCCATGCAGTTAATGCCATGCTAATCAGGGTGTTAGCTTCCCTTACCTGTTAGCTACACTAGCTACATTAGTGTCGTAGCACCAGCGCTAAAACTGAAGAAGCAAACAGTCGGTGGGGAAACTGGTGGGATTTGAATTGTTTTAATGAACTTTAATGTAACTGTGGCTCGTATGCCCTCCTGCAGGGAATGATGCACGCACTGGTGGCGATTCACCAACAGCACGGCATTATGGGATTGTGGCGCGGCTCCAGTGCCGCGGTGCCGAGGGTCAGTGTGGGGTCAGCGGCTCAACTGTGCACTTTCAGCACCTGCAGAGAGTTGATTACTGACCTGCAGGTACGTCTGCGCACAACGTTCACTGAATATGTCACTGAAATGCTTTATTACTCAGTTGAACACTGAATTAAACTGTCCAATTAAAATGAATAAAATGATGATAAACTGCTTTATTAACTCCAAACAGATGAATTAAAAACAGACAGGCTAGATTTTGTATGTGGGTCAGTGATGTGATGCCTATTATTTTCCCTAAAATAATTTAATAAATACATACATCAAATTATTCAACAATATCTCTTTTATGTGAAACCATAAAAATTAATCTAGATAAAATTCATCAGTTCATCCATATAAAATTCATTTTAGTTTATTTTTGCGTCCAAAAGTCCAAAAATGTCAGGTGGTGAAAACGTCCAACAATATATGCTGATTAAGTAAACTATTAAAAACGTCATTTAGTTATAAAAGTCTAAATAAAATAGTTTGGCATGATTTTATGTTAAACTTAAAATTAAAATAAAAATATGCAAAATAACTAGAAGTGCTGAACTCTCTGAAAAAACATTTTTCCACAACTTCTTATTTCCTCAAATGTCACAACCAAAAACAAAGGACTTTTATTTCGACATGCTTTTACAAAAGAGGGGTCAGAGTATTGCACCATAAAGACCCCAAGTGACCTTTATGGTTCAATGCCTTGAGTCATGCCTAAGACTCACTGTATTTAGTGTAGAAAATCAGATACAGAAATGCAGATGTAAACATGTGCATAATGTCCTTTTTAATAAGATTTTTAAAAAAGGTCATTTTTGAAAACCTGGTCATTGATCCATGTGTGAGATAAATCAGTTTGAAGTTCTTCACTATGAAAAACGAAATTTCAACACACTCATTTTAACAGTGCGATGTTTTCAATATTGTTTAAGATCATAAAAAGAGACTTAAATTCTCAAAATAAGCAAATTCATTTTTACTGTCTTCTTTCAAAGTGAGGAGCTCTAAAAGTTTTCAGTGTCTCAGGAAGTTTCTTATTTCACTGTGAGCGTTCTAGATAATCAGCTGATTTGTCTAAATATGATTCTGTAACCAGTTTCTCAAAGCTGATTGATTTCATACAGTCTTCAAATAAATCAGTCAGTGTTGATCTTTAAGAAGCTCTGGGTTATTAATTTACAGTGTAGTCGTGTTTTTCTGACAGTAAACAGTTTCAGCAATAATAATAAGGAGGTCAGTTCTGTTTCAGTGACGGTGAAGAACTGTGTAGAGGAAGTTGGAGCTCATTTCCTGTTTCTGAATCACCCAGTAAAAACCTTAAACTGAGCTCTGATTTACAGGAACTTCAGTAAAACACTGAGGATTTGCACTCATAGTGCTTTCAGATCATATTTAAATTCTACTCGAGTACATCCTTAAAAAAAGAGGGTTCTTCAGTAGTTCTTTAGTAAAGAAAACAGTTCTATATAGAACCATGAACACTCAAAGAACCCTTTGCATGATTAAAGTGTTCTCTATATTAGGTAGTACAGGGCTCCACTTTCACTCAGTTTCATTTTATCCGTTTCTGTTCAGTCATTAATTCGTTTTTCTGTGTTTAGTTCTGTCTGTTTTGTTGTTGACGTTGCGCCGCTTTGTGACCGAACCCGTCTCTGATTTTGAGCTTTAGTGTTTGTTTTAGACTGAAAGAATCCCAGAAAGAGCCGGTCAGAGTCAAACGGTCTGCAGCTCCGGCGCTGAGAGATGCTGAAGCTCCACTGAAGCTCCACTGAAGCTCCATAAGCTCCTCAGAACTTCAGCGGTTCTGGTCCTGACAGTTTTACCGCAGCACGAGTTTCGGCTCGTCTGCGCAGATCCGGCTGATCAGGGAACCGTTCTCATACGGAACCTCAGCTGGGAGTTCTTTAGTATAGTTCCTGTTTCTGGATGATCTACACACTCAGGACTTTATACACTCAGCATGTTCTGCACAGATTACGAAACGCACAGCTGACTGTACGATAATGAAGGAACCGGAAAAGTTACGAAAGGACAGAACGTCCAGCTTTAGGTCAGAGCTGACCACACGATCCGCAGATGGACAGCTCCAGGTTCTGTTATCATACCACACACTCCGGCTCTCAGCTTTTATCCATCCATATGAAACAGTATATGCTTAAGCAAAACGGTTCTTCATAGAAAATGGTTTTATTTAGAACCATGAACCCACAAAGAACCCTTTGCATGGTGAAATGGTTCTTCAAATTGATGGAGAATGTGCTGTAAATAGTTCTATATAGCACCTTTTGAAAAGGGTTCTGTATAGCACCCAAAAGGGTTCTACAGTTGTTACAACTGTAAGACCAGGTTCTATACAGTCAAGTAAGAGTACTAGAATTTCAGTGCTAGACTACTGTTCATTTAAAGGGGAATTACACCAATTTTTCAAAATTCCTATAAAATTCAACCATGGAGGTGTAATCAGAGAGGTTCAGAGTGGTTTGGTGTGAAATGGTTCAGATGTCTTTACAGTGGTGGTGATAGGAACCAGGGGTCGCCATGACTACAACACAAATATAGACATTTTATTTACTATCCAGAACCACCAGTGAACCTACACGAGTCTTCTGAGTTTATATGGAATGTTGATGATTGAAAATAGTCTCTCTCTCTCTCTCTCTGTATCTCTCTCTCTCTCTGTATCTCTCTCTCTCTCTCTCTGTATCTCTCTCTCTCTCTGTATCTCTCTCTCTCTCTCTCTGTATCTCTCTCTGTATCTCTCTCTCTCTGTATCTCTCTCTCTCTCTCTCTGTATCTCTCTCTCTCTCTGTATCTCTCTCTCTCTCTCTCTCTCTCTCTCTGTATCTCTCTCTCTCTCTCTCTCTCTCTCTCTCTCTCTCTCTCTCTGTATCTCTCTCTCTCTGTATCTCTCTCTCTCTCTCTCTCTCTGTATCTCTCTGTCTCTCTCTCTCTCTCTGTATCTCTCTCTCTCTCTCCCTCTCTCTCTCTGTATCTCTCTGTCAATTCAATTCAATTCAAGGTGCTTTATTGGCATGACAAATATGCTACATTTGTATTGCCAAAGCTTACCAGAGATTTATAAACAGAAATCAATGATTTAAGGTGAACATTAGATTCTAGGAATTAAACAAAAAAAAAAAACTTTCATCTTAACACGTTAAACATTGCAAAATTGCTAAGTTGTAGAGCTGTAATTTTAAAAAGCCAGGATACAATAAAATATAACAATAATCAATACTTGAAAAACAAACATGTATATGTGTGTGTGTTTGTGTATGTGTGTGTGTGTGTGTGTGTGTGTGTGTGTATGAGACATGGTCACTCACTGTCCCTCTCGCGGTGGCAGGTCAGGGTGTACTGAGCTGAGTGTGCAGCTCTCTCTGTGCTCCCTAACAGATACGGCGGTGTCTCTGTGTTAGAGAGGCTGGTAAATGTGGGATGTTTGTTGTTGATGTTTGTGAAGAACTCTTTGCGGATCTCAGTGAATTTCGGGTGCTCAGTCAGGAAGTGCAGCTCTGTCTCTGTTTTATTCAGTTCACACTGCTGGCATGTTCTTTTCTCCTGAGGCAGCCAGGATCTCCTGTGCCTGACGGTCTCGACAGCCACACTATGCTGACTGAGTCTGTACCTCGTCAGGGTGGTCCTCAGTCTCAGATCAGTCACTGTGCTCAGGGTCTCTGCCACAGTGTACTGTGTATTTAGGGCCAGATAACACTGCATTTTACTCTGTGATTTTGTTTGTCTTTTTCTGTCTCTCTCTCCGTATCTCTCTCTCTCTCTCTCTCTCTCTCTCTCTCTCTCTCAATTCAATGCAATAAGCTTTATTGGTATGACCATATTCAGTTACAGTATTGCCAAAGCATCATCAAAAGGAACAAGAAGAATTAACATTTAGAACATTACAGAGTATTAAAACTCTTCATTTTATCTCTGCAGATGTTTTCTGAGGACAGCTGGTTGGTGGCCCTCAGTGCTGGAATGGTCAGCAGTGTTGTTGTGGTTTTGGCCATGACTCCGTTTGATGTGGTCAGCACACGACTCTATAACCAGCCAGTCGACCACCTGGGCCAGGTGAGATTAATTTCAGGTTTATTATTGATTATAGGTCAGGTATATTATGGATTACAGATGTACTGCAGCTGATCAGGTCCTGCTGAAGGTCAGTGCTGTGTCCGTATTGCAGGGCCGGCTGTACCGCGGCTTTGTGGACTGTTTTTCCAGAACTCTGCGGACGGAGGGCTTAACTGGACTGTATAAAGGACTTGGAGCCTCGTACTTCAGACTCGGCCCTCACACCATCCTCTCCCTGCTGTTCTGGGATCAGCTTCGCTACATCTACCACACATACGGCTACTGACCACAATTACTGACCACACACACGGCTACTGACCACACACATGGCTACTGACCACACATACGGCTACTGACCACAGCTACTGAACACACATATGGCTACTGAACACAGTTACTGACCACACATACAGCTACTCAACACACAGTTACTGACCACACATACAGCTACACAACACACAGTTACTGACCACACATAGAGCTACTGAACACACAGGTACTGGCCACACACATGGCTATTCACCACAGTTACTGACCACACATACGGCTACTGAACACACAGTTACTGACCACACATACAGCTACTCAACACAGTTACTGACCACACATACAGCTACTGAACACACAGGTACTGGCCACACGCATGGCTATTCACCACAGTTACTGACTACACATATGGCTACTGACCACACACACAGCTGCTGACCACAGTTATTGACCACACATATGGCTACTGACCACAGTTACTGACCACAAATACGGCTACTGATCACAAATATGGCTACTGACCACACACACAGAGTGAGATTGTGAGCGCTGTCTGTCGGTCAGTTCTCCCATCAGTGGACTTTTTGTCACCTGATGTTGCAGAGATATTCCAAGATGATGCAGAAATTCCTTGAGTGCAGATTGTGGAAGTGCGGCTCAGCGAATGTGAGGGGTCATTTACACACCACAGAGTCCTGACCTGAACCCCACTGAGGGTCTCTGGGATGAGCTGGATGAGACTTTAGGAAGCAGGTCGACTGTCCCACCGTCAATACAAGAAAATAAAAGCAGCTCTGGAAATAAATGTTGCGTGAGGTTGTGAAAACAGCGCCACACCGAATTCCCACCGTAATCAAAGCTAAAAGGGTCCAACGACATGTCAGACTTTTTTGGCCAGGCGGTGCAGCTTAACGTAAAAAAAACAAACAAAACTCTGAGATTTTGATCCTCATTTTGACCGCTGGTGGCCAGAGACATCCAGAGGACTTCCCTCTGTTGTAATCTCTCATATCGTGATCATCTCACCTTCTGCGTTCTGAAACCCTCTGAGGGCCCAGAAAACAGAGATCTGTACAGTCCTGCTGGAGCTGGAGTAGTTTGACCAGAGGTCAGTAATGTAGTCTATGTGTAATTTGCCTGGCTGATTCTTCCAGGATAAAGAATCTCTAATTTCCCCAAGTTACCCCAAATAGCCCGGATCCAAACATCATCACGCGGGCGTTTATGTCAGCATTGTGTAACGGATGCCGCACTGTTATAAAACATCAACACACTGTGTAGCTAAACAGCAATTAGATTAGCATTAGGCTAGTAATGTGGGTTCATTCATCTGACCAAACAGGACAGAAAACGCACCGAGAGGAGCTTTCAAATTCATGTTCCTGGGGGCTCCCGAGTGGCGCGACTGTCTAAGCAGTGTCTCTGTCATCAGGAGGGTACAAGCCCCCCCCCCCATCACTCCACGCGATGCTCTCCGAGTGCGTTCAGCTGTACAATGACGTTGAGTGAGCAGCAGTTTGAAAAGATGCGGTGGCTGGTTTCACAGGTCTCGGAGGAAGCCTGTGCTCGCCTTCACTCTCCTAGCGCTGGTAGTATCGTGTGATTGGGGGAGTCCTAAATAGCGAGTGGAATTGGAAACGACTAAATTGGGGAGAAAATTGGGTAAAAATTAATAATAAAAAAAAAATTATTTGCCTTCTCTTTGTACTACGGCCATCACTAAAAGTGTTGTGGTTCCAGTCTCGTCATGATCTTGAGGATTGAGGGTCAAATCGAGCTCCATTTTAGCTGTTAAAATTAGCGGCTAAAATTAGCACACATGCTAAAATTAATTTAGCTCGCACAAAAGGAAATAAAAGGAGGCGCCATTTTCTGAGGTTGAAGTTGTTTCTTTTTCACCAGCTTGTTTGAATTTCCTCGTTCCAGTAACTGCTGCACCATTTAAGGTGGAACGGATACATTAGAACAAGAAGCTGGTGAATAAGAAACGACTTCAGCCTCGTCTGTTTTCTATCAGCCGGTTTTGTTATTACGTTACTGAGATGATGATTCGAGCAGGACTGTTATTACTGAGGAGCTCAGAGTTATAGGAGGTAATTTACTCTGGAATTATTACTGTCAGACTGTATAAACTACAGACACTGCAGATTCACACTGGATTAAAGTCACTGATCTCACTGATAATCACTCAGATTACAGCACGTCCAGAGGTGACACCAATCCAGCTCCAAAAGGGCTAAAGACAGTGTTCGATTCTGAATGATGAGGAACGTGAGGCCCGTTGTCCTTCCTGACGATCACTGTCGTGTGTTCGGCTGTTCTGATCCGCAGAGCTCGACTGTATATTCAGTATCAGATTCTCATCACTCATTAAAGTTCTGCTTTATTGATAAAACACAAACATAAAACTCGCTGGAATGTTTGAGAGAGACGGAGAACTGCCTCCTCTGATCAGCTGCAGTAAACACACACACACACACAGGACTGTAGTTCTGTTTACAGTTAAATCAGTGCTGCTTATTCTCACTATTAGCTACAGAGCACTAACACTAACACTATGATGAATAGCGGCTGTGTGTCTGAGTTCTGTGATCTACACTGATATGTCGATGTTTCTGCTGCAGTTCTGAGGAGCTGAAGTGAGTTTAAAGGCTCATTTATAGGCGTGAACTATTGGCTACGCTGCCCCCAGACGGTCTCTGGTGGTACTGCTCCGTTCTGCCCGTATCCGTAAGCTTTCAGAGAGCAAACACAGACGATATGAACGCAGAATCAGACAGAAGCTCCGTCTGTGTCTGTGTTTAACGCTGAGCATAAATGAGCCTTTAGCATGCTAACGCTAACCAGACAGAACACAGCACAGAACCAGCAGGTGTGGATTTTCAGGGTTGGTTTAGTTAACTTAGTTTATTTTGTCATTAACAGAAAACACTGATCTCAGAGCAGAAGAGACGCTTCAGACCAGAGAAGCTGAGAAGCTCTTTTCCTTCTGATTATGAAGCTTTTTATCGCTTTATCTGATAAACTTTCAGTGAGTGGAAACATTTCTTCAGTTAAATAAGAAGAAAATCAGTGAAAAAGATCAGACACTCCTAACAAACACACACTCACACACACACACACACACACACACACTCACACACACACACACTCTCACACACACACACACAGACACTCACACACACACACACTCACACACACACACACTCTCACACACACACACACAGACACTCACACACACACACACTCTCACACAGACACACACACACACTCACACACTCTCACACACACACACACACTCACACACACACACACTCTCACACAGACACACACACACACTCTCACACACACACACAGACACACACACACACTCTCACACACACTCACACACTCTCACACACACACACACAGACACTCACACACACACACACTCTCACACAGACACACACACACACTCTCACACACACACACACACACACACACACTCTCACACACACACAGACACACACACACACTCTCACACACACTCACACACACACACACTCTCACACACACACACACAGACACTCACACACACACACTCTCACACACACACACACACACACTCTCACACACACACACACACACTCACACACACTCTCACACACAGACACACACACTCACACACACACACAGACACACACACACACTCACACACACACACACTCTCACACACACACAGACACTCACACACACACACACACTCTCACACACACACACACACACACACACTCACACACACTCTCACACACAGACACACACACTCACACACACAGACACACCCTCACACAGACACACACACTCTCACATACAGACACACACACGCACTATCACACAGAGACACACTCTCACACACAGACACACCCTCACACAGACACACACACTCTCACACACAGACACAGACTCTCACACACACACACACCAACCCCTCTCAGCGCTGCTCTGAGATCTACATTCACCACACAGATCATTCTCATCACACTAAAGTGATTAATAACACAGTTTAAACAGAATAATAATAATAATTATAATAACAATAATAATAGTAATAATGATTGCTGATCAACACAATCCTGATCATAGTTTTTTTCATTTGAGATGTTTCTGAAGTTTCTGTATTTATTGTTCTTATAAATCACCTCACACTGCTGCTGTTACGGAATTACACCGATTACGGAATTCTGGAATGAATGAATGAGGAAACTCAGACTGTGTGGGACGGAGCAGCTCCTTCACTGAACTGATGACCAAAACCTGCACATACAACACTGTGCAAAAGTTTTAGTCCCCTGAGAAACAGTTAAATACTTTATAACAGATTCAAATAAACACAAACACAGTAAATCAGCCGAATTCCTTCCGGAAAAGCAGGTGAATGATTTATTAAACTCCATCAGCAGCTCCTGATATAGTGATTTAGTGAAGTATTGATTGGATAAAGCAGGTACTGGACGAATCCTGATCTGATCAATACAGGTCACCCTGGAGGAGCGGGCAGGAAACGGTCAAACTAACACTCACGAAATCACTGCTTACTGTATTAATGCTGTTTACAGTGATTGTAATTCTGTGAATAAATAAAAGCCTGTTTGAACTGTGACGCCCCCAGGTGGCCGAGACTTTTGCACATGATGTATCAGCTCCTCAGCAGATTCCGGAAGTTTGGTTTGAGGTTGGAATGATGATCCGGAGATCATTCTGTGAGATTTTTGGTGATTTTTTATTTTTTAAACTAACAAACAAGAGAATCAAGTACAAATGTGAAACGTGTCAGTCTTGATTATCTGTTTATAAACATCGGTTTATAATGATTATCAGTTTATAAACTTTGGTTTATAATGGCTTATGATTATCGGTTTATAAGGAGGTTCTGGACTGAAGGTCTCAGCGCAGACGCTCAGATACAGAGACTCTCACGATTCAGATGTTTATCATTTTTATTTGTGTTTGGATCTGATTTATTACTGTCGTGCTGCCGAACAAATTCAGTACAGTCACACAGTTACACTCACGCATACACACATACACGCACACAAACACTCTCACACACACAAACGCACACACATGCACTCTCACACACACTCACACTCGGTTGTCCAGCTGAACCATCAAATGACCGCAGTCACCACACTGGTCCACCAGTCTGACCAGCTTATCCAGTTTGACCATCTGAGCTGTTTTTCAGCAGTAAGTTCTGGACTGAATTACTGAATCAGTTTCTGCTGTGATGATTTCTGCACTGGCTGCTGTACTGTAACTGTAAATATTAATAAATCTAACCTTTATTTTTACTTAATAAAATACAGACTGACCACTGACGCTGTTCAGAGTCTTTAATTTGCTTAATACACACACTGTTATAACACTGTTATTAAGGACCAGCGTAAAGAGAAATACAGACTGAGATTGAGAGTGTGTGAGTGTGCATGTGTGAGTGTGTGAGAGAGAAAGAGAGAGTGTGTGAGCATGAGTGTGTGTTTGAGAGAGAGAGAGGGAACGTGAGTGAGTGTGTGTGAGAGAGAAAGAGAGTGTGTGAGCGTGTGTGTTTGAGAGAAAGAGAGGGAACGTGAGTGTGAGTGTGTGAGAGAGTGTGAGCGTGAGTGTGTGTGTGTGTGAGTGAGCATGTGTGTGAGAGTGTGAATGTGTGTGAGAGTGTGTGTGAGTGTGAGCATGTGTGAATGTGTGTGAGTGTGAGCATGAGTGTGTGTGAGTGTGAGTGTGAGCGTGAGTGTATGAGTGTGTGAATGTGTGTGAGAGTGTGAGCGTGTGTGAGTGTGCGAGAGAGTGAGTGTGTGTGAGAGTGTGTGTGTGTGTGTGAGAGAGTGAGCATGAGTGTGAGAGAGAGTGAGCGTGTGTGAGAGAGTGTGAGCGTGTGTGAGTGTGAGAGAGTGAGTGTGTGTGAGAGTGTGTGAGATCAGCTGAAGGGTCTGAGAGTTGGTCAGTAAGCGAGTGATGAGTTGATGACTGATATCAGTTCTGGCTGGATGAGTGTTTAACTTCATCACATGTAGGCTTTCAGTAGAAACTCCTGCAGCGCTCGGTTCCCCTCTAGAACTGCAGCGGAACCTCTTAGAACATCCAGCATCAGCACAGGAACTACAAGGCTGAGACTGGCTTCTTATTGGAATTTTCAGTTTCACCTTAAATGTGTGGCAGTTACGCTGCACCATTTAAGGTGGAACAGAAGATTCTAAGAGGCCATAGAGGAGCTGAAGGTCAGCAGTGAGTACACGGTCAGTCTGCGATTCTCTGAATAACTGACCCATAAAGTCTCAGACAGTGAACCGTAACTGAATTGCTGTTTACTGTTTAATCCTGAACCTGCCGCCGTTCTGCCCCGGTCGGGTCAGTTAGGTCCAGTCTGAGCAGGAAGAGAATCTGTATATCGATTATCAATATATAACGATTATCAGTGTACATCAATTATCAGTGTTGTAACGATTATTATTATATAACTATTGGTATTTAGTGATTATCAGTATATGTAGTTATAACTGAAATTTGGGGGGAGGAGCTTGGCTGAAACCCCTCCTTCTTCCAATCTAACACCCTATAAATTCACATCCTCACCTTCCGCTCCCGTGACAGTGTTCACATCCCCACGCCCCCCCCCATGCCTCAAGTTCTCAGAGCTCCCCCCTCCCTCAATCAGTCTTCCCTGAGGCCCTGAGGTCAGGGCTCTGTGAGGCCACTGGAGTTCCTCCACACCAAACTCGTCACTCCATGTCTTCATGGAGCTGCTTTGTGCTCAGGGGCTCAGTCATGCTGGAACAGGAAAGGCTCTTCCCCAAACTGCTGACACAAAGCTGGAAGCAGATAACTGTGTAAAATGTCTTTGTACTGCAGCATCAACATCACCCTTCACTGGAACTGAGGGGCCCAAACCCTGAAAAACAGCCCCGCCCATCATCCCTCCTCCACCAAACTCTACTGTTGGCTCTGCATTCCAGTAGGTAATGTTCTCCTGACATCCACCAAACCCAGATTCATCCTCTGCAGAGAGACCACCTTGGTCACCACACCGGACCACACACTCAGCAGTCTGCGTTCATGTTTATACTCTGTGTGGGGAGGGAAAGTGCAGAATTGCGCCATCTGCTGGCAGCATTTAAAACACTCCGACTCTCTGTACATTTTCCACAGGGGAATTTTTAGTTTTTAACAAATTAAAACTCACTGAAACAGTGAATCGGTGGAGGAAGTAATAACAGGAAACATCAAAATACAGACATAAAAATCCTCTCAGTTAACGGAACATAAACCATCCGCTCAACCTTTCACACTAACTCACAGAATGTACTTCATAAACAGAAAAATATTTAATATATTTAATAAATTTCACTCTGAGTTTTGTGTGAACTATGTGAAAACTCCGGGATCCAGCAGCCGCATGGACTGCAGCAGAGTGAGAAAGTCCTGCAGCGTCCAGCTTTCATCCGCACTGACCACTGCACTACTGCTGAGAGGACTGAGAGAGAGAGAAAGATAGTCAGAGAGAGTCAGAGAGAGAGAGAGAGACAGAGAGAGAGACAGAGAGAGACAGAAAGAGAGAAAGAGAATTATTATTTCCTTGAAGAACAGTCCGGGTGTTGCAGTGCATATCATAATAAACTGTTGTGGATGATGAGCCCCCGCCCTCCCCCGCAGCACCGGCGTGACTATAACTCACCTGATGTTTACAGGGTCGTTGAAGGTGATCAGGATGTCTGTAGTGTACTGCGGCAGACGGAACAGGCACAGGTGAATGTTTACAGTGTTCTTGGCCTGTAAACAAAAACAAAGCACACTAAATCAGGAACATCAGCTCTACAATCTCACTGCCCACACTGATTGACCAACAGACTGTCCAACACAGCAAACACTGGGACATCCTGAGACAGAAAATCACTGCACTCCCCTCCTCTAAACTGCCCCTCCAGTGATCTCCAGTGCTCTACACTGTCCCTCCACACTACTGTATAGTCTGTATAGTGTGTGTATACAGTATATAGTATGTATAGTGAGTATAGTATGAATAAAACGTGTAGTATGAGTATAGTGTGTAATATGATAGAGTGTGCATACTATGAATATGGAGTATAGTGTGAGCACAACGAGTATGCACACTAACTATTGTGTGTAGTGTGAGTACAGTGTGTATAATTTGTACAGTGTGTGCATAGTAAGTATACTGTGAGTACAGCATGTGTAGAGTGAGTATAGTGTGGGTATAGTAAGTATAGTATGTGTATAGAGAGTAGTGTGAGAAATGTGAATACAGAGTGAGTATAGTGTGAATATAGTAAGGGAATAGTGAGTATACTGAATACAGTGTGAGTATAGTGAACATATTGTGAATATAGTGAGAGAATAGTGTGAGTATAGCATGAGTATGGTGTGAGTACAGTGTGAGTGTAGTGTGTGTTTAGTAGGTCTGGTGAATATAGTGAGTATATTGTGAGTATAGTGTGGGTATAGTGAGTACAGTGAATACAGTGTGAGGATAGGGCATGTATAGTAAGTACAGTGTGTATACTGTGAGTACAGTGTGTGTAGTGTGAGTAAAGTGTGAGTATAGTAAGTATATTGTGAGAATAGGGTGTGCATAGTACGTACAGTGAGTATAGTGTGAGAATAGTGTGAGTATAGTGAATACAGTGTAAGGATAGTGTGAGTTTAGTAAATACAGTGTGAGGATACTGTATACAGTGTGTGTGTATAGTGAGTATATTGTGAGAATAGGGTGTGCATAGTACGTACAGTGAGTATGGTGTGAAGTGTGAGAATAGCGTGAGTACAGTGTGAGAATAGTGTGAGCACCTCCTCGTTGAATTTGGAGATGAGCTGAGCTCCGCTGAGCAGCCAGGCTGAGCTGCACTCCTGCAGGTTTATCTGAGACTGGGGAATAGGCTCCACCCCCCGAACTTCCCACAATCCCTCAGCACTCGCTTTATTACTGCCTGCAAGGTCCTCAAAGTGATACCTACACACACACACACACACAAACACACACAGCTGTATTTAAATCTGACTGAACCAGTTCAGTGTATTTAAGGTATCCTGACCATCATTTGGCTTCTTGATTGAATTTAATCCAACAAAATGCCTCAATATCATACTTTAATCCTGGAATCCCAAATCAAATCAGAAACATTTATTATCAACTGACTCTGGTAATGAAGGGGATGAATGGGAATTGTGGGTTATAAGGATGAATGAAAGGGGAATAAAGGCTGTGGTGATTGAGTTAAATAATAAGTTACCTGGCGGCCTGAGCGTCCTCCACCTGAGCCTGATACTCCATCAGCTCTACAATAATACTCTGATCTGTGTGAGCGTGAGCAAAAACCTCCTGATTATCAGGAATCTCCCTTAACTCACTGTTCACAGAGAGAGAGAGAGAGAGAGAGAGAGAGAGAGAGAGAGAGAGAGAGAGAAAGATACAGAGAGAGAGAGAGAGAGAGAGAGAGAGAGAGATACAGAGAGACTGTTAGCAGTGCTGTAGTGAGTATATTAGGGCTCCTACACTCAGTTCAGTCAGACTGATAAAGAAATGAAGCTTCAGGATTCAGGAGACGAGTTTACTGACTGTCTGTTTCTGAGTCAGATATTTATTACACAGCTTTAATGACCCACATGTTAGTGATGTTTAATTAGAGCAGCTGCGCCAGTTCAGGGTCAGTGTGTCTCAGTAAAACGTATAGAGACGTATCTGTATGTCTATCTGTAGCTGACTGACTATCAGGCTGATGTTTGTATGTCAGTGTTTTAGCTCCTCCTGCTGAATTCAGAGATGTTGTTCTACCTGATGTCTGTGGCGTTGGGGGGGACGGTAGCTGATAAAGCTCCACCGAAGAGCGGCCGGGCCATGAGGGGTCAGAACTCACCTGGGCAGGTAAAGATAAACCTGTATACGGAGTTTTCACACAAGGCAAACAAGAAAAGAAACCGCTGTAGTTAAGGACTGAATGTAGTAACTGCAGAGAAAACAAAATATGATGTAATATAGAGTATTAATTACACTGTACATAACCATATTCTACATAAAGTTCTTTTTTAATTTCCGTTCCACCTTAAATGGTGCAGCAGGTAGTCAACATTCTTGTAGGCGCCAAACTGTCACTGCTGCACCATTTAAGGTGGAATGGAGAGTTCGAGTAAAAAGCTTACAGCAGGCCAACAACATCGAGCAAGAAAAATATCTACACTGCATCACTGACAGAACTGAACTGCCCAATGTGAATCTAGAACCGTTCCTAAGTGCTCCTAAACTATTTGAGCTCTGCTGAAACGGTAAACACAGTGAGCTTCAAATGGCCACGAAATACACGAGGCTAAATTCAGCTTCTTGTTCGACTGTTTCCGTCCCACCTTAAATGGTGCAGGAGTTATTACTATAACTGTTACCGCCTCGGGCGCTGGAATGCAACTCCTGCACCATTTAAGGTGGAACGGAAAATTCGAACAAGACACTGGCGAATTTGAAGCGGACTTCAGGCGCGCGCTGAAAATCATGTGTGTATAAAATCGTGCGCGTGAGAAATTGCAGTAAAAGTTACCTTAGATGTAAATTAATGTATTTATTAGGTTTAGCTTAGCTGCGGCTAACAATACCAGCGCTGCCGTTTCCAGGAAGTGAGGTCACACCATGTTCAGCAGCGTCTCAGTGGCGCAGCGCCCCCTGCTGTCCGCGTGGTGTCCTTGGTGGTGTTCTTTCTGTTCAGAATATTTTCTGAAATAAAGGAGATTCTCTGGAAGCGTCTGATCGCCTTAAACACTGTCATCATATATGAGGAGTAATAATAATGCGATTTGAACATTATTTCAGGTTACTGACGCGGCGCTTTTATTGGGGAAATCCACCGATTTTTCAAAATTCCTGTATAATATAACGGCTAAGATGTAATCAGAGAGGCTTGGTGTGAAACGCTCCGTTCTGGAATTGTTCACAGTGGTGGTGATAGGAACCAGACGTCCACCTCTAAAAGCTCCCTCACAGAAAGTTACTACATGAAATGGTTATGAATTCACTGCCTGATGACTGAGACACTGTTTTATGATAGTTTTGAGAACTTAAACTCCATTCATGGTGGAGGGATACATGCAGGGCGCTGTGAGGCAAAATAGTCCCCAAAGAAAACTTATTATTTCAGATTTTCCACTATTTTCCATCATCAACATTCCATATAAACTCAGAAGACTCGTGTAGGTTCACTGGTGGTTCTGGATAGTAAATAAAATGTCTATATTTGTGTTGTAGTCATGGCGACCCCTGGTTCCCATCCCCACCACTGTAAAGACATCTGAGTCGGTAAGTTTCTCTACAATAAACCACCAAACACTGAATTTTGGATTATGAATTTAGAAAACTCGGTGCAACTGTCCTTTAATAATTTCATGCTTTATTATATAATATTGTTTCTAAGAACTTTCAGTAAATCTTCACTGTAATAATTATTAAAACGAGGAAATGAATTCTAAAATATTCTAATATGATCATATGCTTTTTTCTCGATTTCTATTTTATACACAGCTTTCGGAGTGGAAAGGCATTACTAGTCGCAAAGAACGCCGATCCAGGGTTTTTTTTTGTTTTTTTTTGCGCGAACAGAATCAGTACGGCCAGTAGATGAACGATACAATCGAACTCGTCCTGGAAGGTGAACACTAATAAAACTACACGGAAAATCGAATTTACATGTAAATAGTTCTTCATTTTCAACTTTAGGCCTACACACGTTATTGATTTAAAATGATGCACAAGCGAAACAATAACAGAACTGATTTCCGCTGAAATCTGAGTTTAGTTCTGGTTTTTGTCTGTGTTCACGGTAAGGACCTTCGGCACTCACTCAAGATGGCGGATTTTCAGAAAAACGGGTCGGAGCTCAAAAAAACAAAACAATTAAATTAAAATTAAATTTAATAAAACAGCGGAAAAAATCTGAGGGGGGGATAAATAGGAGTTAGTCTGTGAGCGGAAGAGTGCGCGCGCGTTTGTAGCGGAGTTTGTCTCGGCCTGTTCGGAGCGGCGGTTTCGGTAAGTAACAAACAGCTTTTACACTTAAAGTAATCGATCAAATCAATCACTCCGGTTTTAAACGGAACCGGCCCGGGATATCATTTAACACCCCGAGTTTCTCCGTGTGAGCGTTTACTGCAGCGGTGAGCGTGTTTGAGAATGTGAGACTCTCCGCGGAGCTGAAGTTTGATTCTTTTTCAAATTTTCCGTTCCACCTTAAATGGTGCAGCAGTTACATTGCGGTGCCTCGGGCGTTTTAATCGTAACTGCTGCAGCATTTAAGGTGGAACGGAAAATTCGAAAAATAAGTAAACTTCAGCTCCGTGTTTAGATGAGCTGCGCAGCCCTGAGTGTCATACACGCCCGATTACGGCTCCAGAGGTTTATTTATGATAAACACCTGAACTAAATACGTTTCTCTGCTTCTTCATCCCGGTGGAGTTCCTCCTGATGCCGGTGCTGCATTTGCTGTGTTCATTCGTTCTCCAGTTATGTTTGTAAAACTCTGCACTGCTTCTCCAAATCAGGGACGTGTCTTCTTCTGAAATGAAGGGTGTGAATATAATAATAATGTTGTCGTAGCTCTGAACTGGCTGTGTTATTAAAGGACTCGGAGATGGAAACAGAATTTTCTTTCTTTTTTGGAAACGAAGGAGTTTGAAGTGTGATGTCAGCATTGTTACAGTTAAAAATATTTATACCCTCCACTTACGGTGAGTTTGTAGTTTTGAACTGACAGTTTTTGTGAAATAAAAATAAAAACCAGTGAATTTACACACGTGCACCCTTTCAGCCCACTGCAGTTTAGCCCCGCCCATCAGCACTGAAGTTATAAGGAGTGTTTCAGCCTGGCCTGCTTTTTTGAACGAGACGCAGCCAATCAGACAGAGCTCAGACTTATCTTTGAGTCCTGATTATGTGGTATTACCCGCGATAACACACCCAGACGTCTATAATTACTTTAAATACTGCACCAGCGTTCACATCACGGGAGATAAAGCAGATAAATCACTAGAATTGTGTCTGTCTTTAATTATTCTGTCTTTACCATCAACTACACCATCAAACGCAAAAGTGAGTAACAGCTGCGTCTCTGTGTTTGATCAAATAGGATCCTATAGGAACATCTGTTCACTCGGCGGCCATCTTTGCAACACCGCAGGGCAGTTATTTCCACCAGACTCCTCTGTCTGAGTGAGGAGAGACCAAAATACCCAAACTGAAGGTCAAATTAGTGCTTAAAAAGCAGATTTGAAAGTTTGGTACTGGTTCAGTAACGTAATTTTTCAGGATGTTCTGGCTGCGTAACCATCAAACTGATTGGCTCTTTTCCTTGAAGGGCGGGACTTTCTCCATAAACTGACACCATGTTGAGCTTCTGCATTCAGATTACAACCAGCGACCGTCTCCTCCTCCGTCTCTGGTGTGATTCAGTTAGTCACTGTTAGCCTGACGTTAGATTTAACCTACTGTGAGCCCTGCTAACATCCCGTCTTTAACTGAATGGACTTAGGTTTGATGTTTTTATGATCAGTATCATTGATAATGTTGAGCAGTCATAAATCACGATAGACAGGTTTCCGTAATTCTGGTCACACGTTCTTAGATTTGGTCCGAGTGGCTAGTGCAGAATTTTAATCCTGCAGTATGAATCTTAATATGACTGACAAGTGTCTCTCTCTCTCTCTCTCTCTCTCTCTCTCTCTCTCTCTCTCTCTCTCTCTGTCTGTCTCTCTCTCTCTCTCTCTCTCTCTCTCTCTCAGTGATGGCGGAGGAGCGGCGGCAGAAGCAGTGCAGCGTGGTTCTCCCCACAGAGTCGATGAAGGCAATGGCAGAGTCGGTGGGTGTCGGTCAACTTCAGGAGGACAGCTGTGTGGCTCTGAGTGAGGAGGTCAGCTACCGCATCAAAGAGATTGCTCAGGTACCCATCAATCACACTACACTACAGGAAGTGTAGGGGGCGATATGGCTTCTACTGTTTCATTTAAAAAGCTCTATAATGTTCATATGATCCACACAGTCACTCTGACAGACTGTAATACACTACAGGAAGTGTAGGGGGCGATATGGCTTCTACTGTTTCATTTAAAAAGCTCTATAATGTTCATATGATCCACACAGTCACTCTGACAGTCTGTAATACACTACAGGAAGTGTAGGGGGCGATATGACTTCTACTGTTTGATTTAAAAACAGTGTCATTGAGTATTTATGGGGTGCTGTTTTCATTCTGTAGGATGCTTTGAAGTTCATGCATCACGGAAAAAGACGCAAACTGACCACCAGTGACATCGACCATGCTCTGAAACTAAAGAACGTGGAGGTAAAGCGCAACAAACCCCCAGGAGAGAAAATCGCACTGTACAGTATTCTACATGCAACACGTCACATTACAGTAATTAGCTAAACATTGTGATACGATATGTTTCTGCCAAGTGATTAAATTAATGAATATTAATTAACCGCATGTGTCATATTTGCTCAATTTTACCATTTCAACAATCTAGTAACACTCTGGCAACCATCTGGGATACTCAGATACCTGGAACACCATAGCAACCACCTAAACACACTCTAGCAGCCTTACCTAGTAACCACATAGTAACACAACGTGTGTGTGTTTGCGCGTGTGTGTGTTTGCGCGTGTGTGTGTTTGCGCGTGTGTGTGTGTGCACGTGTGTGTAGCCTCTGTACGGGTTTCAGAGTCAGGAGTTTATCCCGTTCCGGTTTGCGAGCGGCGGCGGCCGTGAGCTGCACTTCTATGAGGAGAAGGAAGTGGACCTGAGTGACATCATCAACACCCCCCTCCCCCGCGTGCCCCTCGACGTCTCACTCAAAGGTAGTAATAATAATAATAAAAACATCATAACGACAAGAAATATGTACATAAATACTAGTGATGCATCAGTACTGATACTGGTATTGAGTGTCGGGCCGATACCACAATTATTTACTCATAAAAATTCACTGATAGCAACATCTGATACCAGCTGATACCGTGTGGCGTAAGCCGAGTGTAGCTGCTGCGCTAAAGAACAAACTCACTGACGGAGGATCTGATCACTCAGAGAAGAGTCACTGACTCCGTCACAGTCGGACACAAAGCCGTCGGTCACTTGACACATTCCGCCTCAGATTCCCACCAGGATACACTGAGAGATTATAGACTGTTTATAAACACACAATCACAACCACTTCCCCAACACGGGTGGAGACACACAGGCCAACAAAACAGAGGAGAAAAAGTTGACATTTATTGTGTTTCACTAAATAGAACAGGGGGCGGCACGGTGGCGCAGTGGGTAGCGCTGTCGCCTCACAGCAAGAATGACCTGGGTTCGATTCCCGGCTGGGTGACCAG